TGTACATATATAACTATGAACAATCTTGCATTTTATAGTCACTTAAAGGAAAACTGAATGTATTTTACAATGGTTCTATACAATTGCTATAAAGATCTCTGCTTTTTTAATACATTAGCACATTAATAATGTATATATTAATAGTTCATACATAAATTGTTTTTGTAATATTTAACTATGCATAGGTTAAACTATTTTATCTAGTGATAGTGTATGTGCTCAAATGTTGCTGATTTCTCAACACACAAATTTCACATTTGTCTTACTTAGTAAACTGCCTTTAGTTTTCTAAACTAATGATCAGTTAAATTTAAAATATAATATTCATTACATAGCTCATGAATAGATTATCACAGAAGGAAATATGTAGATCCTCACAACTCTTTGGCTCTTTGGCTTAGAAACGGAGATGAGCACCGCCCCCTAGAGTTGGGAACGGCTAGCATATATGTGTAAGGGGAACCTTTACCTTACCCTATTTCTCAGGTAGGCCTCTGAACCCAACCTATACTTTCTTCACAAAGACATAAACTATAAGGAAGTTCTGCAACATTTAATAACTTTTTAAGCAATGACTATCTAAAGCAGGCATGAACAACACACAGCCCATTGGTGTTTTTAAAAACTTAAGTTCACCACCACAAAACATCATTGCCCTTAGAAAAGGTATGCTGCTGAGCATCTCCTGGCTGCACCAACGCTGTCATCATAGCTCAACCAAATCCCTGATTGGTGCACTAGCTATTCCCTCATAGGAATTATTTTTAATTGATCCTGTGGCCCTTTCCCCTCTGCAGACAGGAGTTACAGCCATTTCATAACATGTGGTTTGGCCAAGTTCTTGTTGCAAGAGCATACTTTCAGATACTACAGGAGTCTGTTGGAAGCACATGAATGTGGTGCATTTTAAAGAAGTGAAATGAATGAAAACATATTCTTGGTCTATTCCCATTCATTTCAGCAGGTGTGTGTGGTCAAATATTTGTTGATGAATGATGTTCTATTATTGTAATAAGTAACTTCAACTGTCTTATTTTATCCTCTCTAGCCTAGACAGAAAGTACACAGACATACTTAGAAATCAAAGCAATTTGACTGGCCAAAACAAAAATAGCAAGAAAGTCTAGTTGGTGGTATTGCCAATTCCATTACTTATATCAGAGTGTGTGTTAGCATTTTTAGTAATGTTTTTATTGAGTTGCAGCATTATTTAATACCAACATCTGCATACACGGAAAACATTTCTGGTTACTTCAAGGGCCAAAATAAAGAACAATAATGCTTTTGCAACTAGGGAAATCAATATAGCTCAGGTTTTGTTGTTTCAACCATTCTGTTGTGTTTGACTCCTGGCAACTGTATAGGCAAATGCTCTCCATGATACTCTGCTTCTTTCAATTGTTGGATGTTCATCTTTGCATCAGTTTTGATGTTATCAAGCCAATGTTTTCTTTGCTTTCCCCTTCTGGTTCCATTAACCATTCCTGATTTCTTCCAATGAATTTGCATGCATGGCATACATTTGGCAAATATATTAAGCATAAATTTAGAGATTTGAAGCAGAACAATTGATAGGATGTGACCCTTCAAGGATTATAACAACAGAACAAGGCAAAGTATGGCATATTACTTATACATTAACTCATGATAAGGAAATGTGCACCTGTCTCATACTATATTCCTTATTAGAAATAGGAATATCTAGTAGACTTAGTACTATTTCATTTGTTCCCTATGAGTTTAGTTAGTACATAATCTATTTAGTTTTCTCAAGTAATAGAAAAATAATTAAGTTACTAAGAATGACTATTATTCACACAGACTTTAATTTATAGAATCTTTCCCGAAAACTATCCTATTCTCATGTTTTTAAGTAGGTTCATTTTTTTTGTTTCAACTGGTATATTATCAAGTTATGTGCTAGTGCATCAAACTTGCTTAGTCCTGCTTTGTTCTTTTCTAATAGCCAAACAAATAAGAAATAGATTATTTTTTCATGACATCCAAAACTTCTACTCCAAAACATAAGAATCATAAATCAAGAACTAAAAATAGTTTACAATTAGTGCTTGTGAAAACATAAAAAAGTCAAGAGCTTTAGAAGTGGCTGCTTAACATTATGCTTAACATAATGGATGCATTAAGATAAGTCTTTATCATCAATTATAGCACTCTTCAACAGAGACAGTTCATACAGTAAGCAATTATTCATCTGATTTAATCAAGTGATATACAAGCTACATCTAGTCAGCTTTTGCTAAATCTAAACAATGTGCGTTCTTAATTCCAGAATATATGTATATTTACTTAGGGAAGTTCATTAATGTTAATTTTCACAACCCAACTGTACACATATGAAGTTCAATAGAACTTATTCCCTATAAAGTGCCTAGGATTTCATATTTTCCCAGATTATTAAATTAATAGCTTAATTTGATGTAATGATGTCCAATGTAGTTCAAACCTATTCAAAATTGAAATATTTCCATTTACATGCTACCCCAAACCAAAGACTCTGGATAGCTTACAATAATAAAACTGCAACCAGACCCATACATTATTGTAATTATTAAGTATCTGCAGTAAAACAATCACCAAAAAGTGGAATCTGGAAGGTTAGCAGAAGATTTGAGTATTGTTAATGATGTTCAAAATCTGAACAGTTTTTTTAAATGCAGTGCCATTCAAGACACTCTGATTATGGTCTCTTGACTACAAAGTAGTCTTTTTTGGACAATTTGTGTTGTCTTAGTTATACACACTTCATTAGAAGACAGTTTGTCAGGGCAATGCAAAAAGTTAAAAATAGTACTGAGAGAAAAATCATATTTTGAACTGGGCCTGACTTACAAAGACACGTGTAGTTTTCTTGATGTGATGTGAAAAAGGCTTGCCACTGCTATTTTGAAGATTTTTTTTTTCTAATTCCCCAGCCTACCAAACTTCAAATTATTCAGATGTTAGTTGAATAGATTGATTATTCCCCCTAGAACAAATAAAATATTTCCAGATTCTATCTTCAAGTTGCAATGGAATTTTTACTACTGGAACACTTTTGTACCCTGTTGCAAAGTTACCCTTTGGAATGCCTACTAAGCCTACAGAAATCAATGAATGGAAACTAACTAACTAAAGCTTTGCCGATTTGTTATTCTTCTCCAAGTGTGACCAAACCTCAACCCACCCTGTCAAAAGCAAAGCAAGAGATGCACTTACAAAATCCCACTTATTTTTTAAAAGTGGTTCTGGTTTAGCAAATGCTTAGTTCTCCCTAAAGTGAAACAACACAAAGAGTTTTTGTGAGGGAAAACTTCAGCATCTAGAACCCTTAAGCCCTTAGTTTCCATTAGGAGCTGAATACCTTACAGCATGTCAAATGAAAGCACACAAAGCCTTTTTTTTTAAAAAGGAGATAAAACCTTCCAGCTTTCAGAGGTTTATGCTGCAGAATAAACTCCAGGATCTGAATCCAAGGAAAACTGTGACTTGAGTAGACAGAATCTAAATTCAACTCTCTGCCGGGAACCCCCTTCCATTTGTTTTAAGGTTAGTAATAGTTTCAACTTTGCAATTGCTGCAGTGTCAAGTGAGGAAAGACATTAGAGCAGCTATTTTGCAGAGAAAAAGCCTCTCTTATCCTGCGTCGAATATGAAAAGGTCAAGAAATCTGGTAATCGCCAAAAACAGCCCACACATAACTGCCGTTACACATAAAGATAAAAATGCTGCACAGGCTCTAGGAAAAGAAATCTACACACCGAGCACGGGTGTATACAGAGGACCAGAGAGACGAGTTACGGTGCTTCTCACTTCACACGAACACTTAAAGTTACAACCAGGCCTCGGTTTTACTTCTCTCTCCCAGGATGGGATTTCTAACCCAAACCGACCCCTAGGATGCCGAGGAGAGAGAGAGAGAGAGAGAGAGAGAGAGAGAGAGAGAGCTGCGCTGCCTCAGACCCTCCCGCGGTCCACGGCCTCTTTTTCCACAAGCGGCCAACCCGACGCGCCGGGTTTTCCCACCTCGGGGCCGGGGCCCACGAGGAAGAGGAAAGGCAAGGGACGAGCCCGAAGAGAGAAGCTACACGAGCCGCTATCCCCGAAGGCATCTCCCGCGGATTCTCCCTTCCAGCGAGGGGGAAGGAAAAGGAGCGCCTGTCAGTCAACCTCGCGTCTTCCACCTGCCGGCAGCACTGGAGCTACGCTGCCGCCCCCTCAGAGAAGCCCGAGCTTCTCCCACCCCCCTGCCGGTGGCCCGAGGCTGGCCGTCCCGCTAGGCCCCAACCTGGGCGCAGGCCCGGCCGAGGCCTCTCCCTCCCACATCCCCCAGTCGCGCGCCCCCTCCCTCCCCCCTCCCTCTCCTCTTTCTCCCCCCCCCTCACCTGATGTTGGTCTGGGCTGCGGCTCCCGGGCCGGCTCGTGTTGACGGCGGGCTATCGGGCGGCTCAGTCCATTGGTAGCTCCCAGGAAAGGGGGGTCCGGGGAAGGGGAGGGAAGCGAGCGAGTCGCAGCGGCAGCAGACACAGGGCAAACACTAAAGAGAATGAGCGGGGCCAGCTCCGGCCGGGAAGGAAGTGACGGCACCACACGGGGGAGAGAGAGAGGGAGAAAGAGGAGGAGCCGTGGCCTTGGCAGCTATTTATAGCGCCGCCTAGCACCACGCATGCCGTGGTTCCAGTTAGCGGCCGGCTTTTCAAGAGTTGTACATTGTCGCACGGATCGTTCCCCCCCTCTCCCCGGATGACTACCACACCCAGCATGCTCCAGGGTAGCTAGCAAGAACACGTGGCCGTCTGTCAGTGTCTCACGGCATTTTTTTTTTAAAAAAAAACTATACTTCCCAGCATGCTCCATTCCCTCTAGAGAGCTTTCTTTCATCTTTCTTTCATCCTGTCCTATACACATCTTCTGCCACGTGCTTCCTAAAGCCCTACATTTCCCAGCGTGCATTGCTTCCTTACCTTCGCCCGCGGAGGGCGTGGCTTGCAGGTCCTGCACGCCCTAGCATTCTTGGGTGGGAGTCGCACTGGGCTGGAAAAAAGGGATACTTTGGTGTGGTTCGGGAAGGCTGCCCTTTGCAGAACGTGGATCTGTCAGGAGCTCGGTTTGCTAATCTAAACAATGTCGGGGGGGGGGCTCCTTTTAAATGCAAAGAGATTCACTTGCTCTCTATTTTTTTTAACAGGTTCTTTGGTGCCCTGGGAAAATAAAGCTAGGATCGGAAGTTAAATAATACAATACATTGTATTCTGGCCAACCATAATAAAACAGAAGAGGATGCAGTTTTCCATTTGGTCTACAACGCTTGATTTTAAAAAGTGCAAGAGGACTGAAGACAGGCTGCTTTGCGTCCGATTTGATTGTTTTTCAGCTTCAGCTTGATCTGGAGAAGCGAAGGAGGGTCGCATCTGATTGGTATTCGGATAGGAGACAACCAAGAAAACCCGGGGTAATATTTGGACAGAGACATTTTTTAAAAAGTTTTTCTGGATGAAGGGAGCGGCGAGCTGTTCCGTGTTGTTGCTCAGCGGCGTGCCCATGAAGTGCCTTGGCGCCAAGCTCCACTTCAACTTGGATTTGTTGTCCAGCTCTAGAATTTGGGTTTTTATTCCTCTAATAATCCTACAGAGGGTTGCAAACCACTTCCTTCTTTTTCCCCCCCCCTTCGGAGCGAAATAATTGAAGATCAAGAATCAACATCCTCTTTCAGGTGACTTAGAGACGCCATCCTAATAATTGTTTTTCTTAATTAGACCTGGCTCAATTTAAATCGGGTAAAAAAAACAAACACCCCTTTTTTATTGTTCCCTGAAAATAAATAGAATCTTTGTAAGCATGAGAAAGATTTGTTAGGGAGGGGAAGGAGCAAGTTACTTCTATCCCTGGGTAGCCCTAGTGGATTCTGGGTCTTGTAGTTTCCCCAAGCGTTCAAAAGCAGTTGATTTAAGGGTGCTGCTCTAACGAAAGTGGATCGAGGGCAGCAGACTATCGTAAAGTGCTTATGTGGCAAAGGGGGCAGCGCTGCAAGTTAATAGCGCTAAGCGGCCCAAGTGTTCAGCGGTAGAGACTGCAGCGAACTCTCAGTCCCATTTGTTCATTTCAGGTATTGATTCAAACCAAGCCGGTGCGCTTCTCGCCAAGCGCGACTCTGAAACGCCGCTCTTCTTCCAGAAATAACCACTTTTGCCTACAGTGAAAATTTGGCCGTGATTCTAGATTTCCTTTTAGCCGGTCATGAGATCTGTTGTGTCTAACCCCAGTTATTATCAAATATCAAAGTAAAAGGGGAAGCCTTCCCGTTGCCTCTCTCTGAATTTGGCAGGAAAGAATTATGAAGAAAGAAGTTATGTTTTGGGGTTTGGTTTTGTTTTTTAGCCAGACTAGTTTTTAGGAAGGACTCTCAAGCTTCCACCAAATTGAAAAAGGCTCCTGTTAAGACATACATTTTGTTGTTTGGGAATATTTTACAAAATATTTAATTTAGATTTAGCACATCAATGCCAACTTTGGGGTATTGCTTCTGGGGCTTTAAAATGACCATTCTGCAACTTTGGTTGGAAATTTAGAGAAAGGGGCAGGTACAATTTTCCTAATTACTAATTCAGGCATTAAGGCATTAAGATGTTTAATTGTGATTTGTCAATTTGGCTGAGGTTCACACTTCTTGTAAAGCCAAAACCAACTAAATCATATAGCTATATTAATGTATAAACAGTATTTATTTATAAATCAAATTTATACAGCTTCCCATCTCACCTGAGGTGACTCTGGATGGCACAAAACAATTCTTATTACCTTCAGGCCTCAAGATTTTCATTTGTGCTAGAATAAAACATTAGGTTCATCATTCAAATATCAAACTCCATTTACATACCATTTTGTTTTCTAAGAATGCCTCAGAGTCTGAGGGGAAACAGAAGCATTTTCGTAAATAAAGATGATGCTAGAGGGGGTTTATGCCTTATTTTGCAGCATATCTATTTCCGTTCTTGAAAATTAAATCTGTGAAAGCTGGGCCTGACAATCTGGTGGATATCAAGGGATATGCTGCAAAATAAAGCATAAATTTCCTGTAACATTGCCATTTACAAAAATGCTGTAATCAAAAATGCAATCAACATGCCACAATTTGGACACTTGGCAACCAGCTCACATTTATGACTTCGTTACAGCATCCCACGGTCATGGGATTGCTTTTTCTTTCTTTCTTTTTTTTTTTTGCTATCTTCCAACAAAAAAAGCCTATTGGATAAGCTGGATTCAAACCTACAATCATATGACCATAATAACAGTGGTAGAATCTACTTGAGTTCATGACTCAACAACCACGATTTATAATTAAAATTCTGAGTTCAATCGTGTTTGTTTAGGGACTACCTATGTTTCTTCCCATTTCCCCTACAATAATCCTGTGAGTTAAACTGAGGTGAGAGTGACTGGCCCAAAATCACCCAGCCAATTTTTCATGCTTTAAGTGGGAGGAGAACTAGGGCAACAACTTAACCACTACAGTATCTCAGTTTGCTTCCAATGGCCATCATTACTCTTAACTGTCATAACTGGACATTGGGGAAAATAGCTGACAAAGCTACATTGATGAAGCTGTCACAAACTTTCTGGCTTGGCAGACCTGTGGGTGTGTGTGTGGCGATGGTTCTGTGCGAGCAGCAGGTGAATGCACACATGCCAGTGGAGCTGCACATGTGCACACACTCACCTGCAGCTTGCGCAGTCCAGTACCGGGCTACAACCAGGGGGCTGGGGACCTCTAATTTAAAGAAAATAACCTGTCCTAAAATGCTTTGATAATTGTATGCTTGACTTAATCTGCTTTATGATAGGAACAGATCAACATTATGTATCTTCAACCTTTTCACTGATCTAGCATCCGGTCTATAAATTGCATTTCATATTAATGCCTAAAGCTGCATACAACTCTAAAACCCAAACAAGACTCCTAGTACATTTTACACTCAGGTAGGAACATGCATTTTAACTATATAAGCGGCACAAGAAATAGGCAATCTTTCTATAGAGTAAATTTTAAAGCATTTCTTAATACATCAAATTCCAACCATTTTTAAATGTTTTCTCATCCCAAACCTTATTTACATTAGCTTTGCAGACATCTAGGCATAATTAGAAAGATAACTGTTCTTCCAAAGATACTTATACATCTTAAACTGAGATTTAGCATTCAAACATTAAGCTGAAAAAAACTAAGCTACAGGTATTCCTCAACATAGAACCATTCGTTTAACAACTGTTTGAAGTTATGAAGGCACTGAAAAAAAGTGACTTACAACTGTTGCAGCATCCCCATGATCATATCAAAATTTGGTTGCTTGGCAACAGGCATATAATTATGACAGTTGCAGCGTTCCTGGGTCATGTGATCACCATTTACAATTTTCCCAAGTCTGATAAAGTCAGAAGCCAGATTTGCTTAAGAATCACAATTCACTTAATGAACATGGCAAAAAGATAATAAAATCAGCATGACTCACTTTATAACCACATTGCTTAGTAATAGAAGTTCTGGCCCCAATTATGATCATAATTAAGGAGTACCTGTAAAGTTGCTTAGTAAGAAACATCTGCATGGCAAATAATACAAAGCAATTATTTTCAATGATACTTTACAGCAATACATTCTTCAAAGGTAAAGTATTAAGCTACTGTCTTCCTTAATAAAGACAGGTAGAATTCTTTGAAAGAGCTCTTCAAAAATCCTTAACTTCCATTATGAACAACATTAGGTAAAGCAAGTTGAAGTGTGGTTATGGCATGGTACTGAGTTACACATACACTACTAGACAAATACTTTTTAAACAAGAACTTATTTATTCACAATTTAGATAAATTTTAGAAGACACAAAAGAAATACAAATGACAAACTGGAAAAAAGAATATGTGACAACATGAGTGTGCAGCCAGTATTCTGTATATTTTAAAATGTTATCCAATCACAGCATATGTGAAATTGCAATCAATCCCAAATTATAAACTTCTAACACTATTCCCTTTGAAAACAAACAGGGAAAAGGAAAATCACTTCCTCCTTATGAACACATTCAGCTTCTGCATCAAGCAATAATTCTGTGATGTATTTCTGAAATAGCAACTCGTTTCATTTTGTCCGAGCTTTGTTTAGAAGGCAGTCAATATTAGTGCTCTTTGATGTAACTCTGAAATTCTGCCACTCAGATTAAAAATGTCAGAGCAATGTTACACTTGCAGCTTGTAAATATCCTTGAAGAAACTGCAAAGCTTCAGCGTTCAGGCTGGTACTTAGCATTGACGGAACCTTAAAAGACATAAGCAATATATATTTGAAATGCATTTAAATTACAAGTTTAAAACAAAAATCTATTATTCCAAGTAAGCATCCTAGGTTCCATCAATCCCCAAGTATTTATTTGTCTCTACCCTGTGAATTATATGGCCATACTATGTTATATTTTGCCAAGTGTCAGGGCAGTAATGAGCTGTCCAGGCAACTGATTCTGTTGGATACAGATACAATGACCACACCAATGACTAAAGAGATTTCAAGATGTATATATTATATATTTATGTATTAATAACTCAAGCAAACATTTAAAAGTGTAACATAACAAGAATACATACCAAGCTAGATAGCTCAGTCTCTTACAAGCTGCAATAATGATAGCAGAAATACAGTACCCAATGCTAGGTTCTGTGCAGAACTTCCCAGTTTAAATGCCTAGGATATTATTAAAACCTGGCACCATGACCAAGAGACATATGACTTTGGTATGGGAACTGAAAGTCTGAGACCTTCAAAAATGATAAAAGCTTTGCAGCTCTGTGAAGATTCTCCCTGCCCCCCTCGCCATTTCCTCTTGTTTATAGCAAGGGTGAAAAACAAGCAGATTAGTTGGAGATGAGCTCTAAACTTTTATATAGCTAGTCCTTGATTTACAGCAGTTTGTTTAGCGACCATTTGAAGTTACAACAGCACTGAAAAAGTGACTTTTCATTTTTAAGAGTCGAGATGCCGCAGTGATTAGAATGCAGTACTGCAGGCTACTTCTGCTGCCTGCCTGCTGCCTACAATTTGGCAGTACGAATCTCACCAGGCTCAAGGTTGACTCAGCCCTCCATCCTTCTGAGGTGGGTAAAATGAAGACCCAGATTGTTGGGGACAATATGCTGACTCTGTAAAACCGCTTAGAGAGGGCTGTAAAGCACTGTGAAGCCATATATAAGACTAGGTGCTGTTGCTATTTTTCACATTTATGACCACTGCAGCATCCCTGTAGTCGTGATCATAATTTGGACACTTGGTAAGTGACTCATATTTATGATGGTTGCAGTGTTGTGGGGGGGGTGGGGAATCATGTTATCACTTCTGACAAACAAAATAAGGGGGTAGCCAGATTCAATAACCATATCACTAACTTAACAACTGCAGTGATTCACTTAACAACTGTGGCAAGAAAGGTAGTAAAATGGGGCAAAATTCACTTAACAAATGTCTCACTTAGCAACAGAAATGTTGGGCTCAATTATAGTCGTAAGTTGAGAACTTTTCTAAATATGAAGAAATCAAAATATGTCACTAAACTCCTTGAAATACCCTGGTCTTCAGCATTGCCACAAGTTATTGTATCAAAGAGTTGTATTTCATATAGAGTTGCCTCCAGCAAGATGGACAGTATGTAAGTGTAATAATAAAAAATATTTATAGGAAGGCTGTTCATATGGATGCTTTACTTCAATGAGCATCCATTCCAGTGCTGAGATCTAAATTTCTTTCCTACCGGTTCTGTGGGCGTGGCTTGGGGGTGTTTCATGTGACTGGGTAGGCATGGCTATGTAACCATGTGACTGAGGGATCAAAAGACAGAAACTCACTAAGAATGTCCTGCTGGAGCAGGGTTTGACTAGATGACCTCCAGGTCCCTTCCAGCCCTGGATTATCCTCTGAAGCTGCGTCTAGTGCCAGGTTTGTAGTCCTTCCTCTCCTTTTTCCCTCCCTTCTTTCTCTCTCTCTTCTTCTCTCTTTCAAAAACGGACCCCACCCCGTTTTTGGCTTACACCCCCCCATTTTTTCCCTACAACCCCCCCCCCCCGCCCCCCGATTTTCGGCCTAGCAGGCTTCAGGGAAGCCTGGGAGCAAAAACAGACACACACCCCCCGTAAAAAAAAAAGGTTCCGATGATCGTGCACCACAGCCATCAGAACCTTTTTTTAACCTTTTAAAAGCATTCTTTTACGACCAGCTTGGGCAAATAGGTAGTAAAAAAATGCTTTAAAAAGGTTCAAAAAAGGCTCTGACAATCACAGAGCCATGCAATTGTCAGAGCCTTTTTTTTACTTTTAAAAGCAGGATGTAACGACACCCAGGTGGGTGGGCGGAGCCTCGCGCCGCCATCGCTACTGGTTCTTCAAACAAAGTGCCACAATCGCTACCGGATCGCCTGATCCGGTCCGAACCAGGAGCATTTCACCCCTGATCCATTCAAAATTGCTTTGCAAAATAACATGACATTGTGCTTCAAAATAACATGACATGTGATTTTGCTTGTCCTATTTAGCAACAGCTCCTCAATGTCCTTTGGCATTTGTGGCAGCCAGATTTTTTTTTTGCTTATGTGTTGTCGCTATTCAGAAGCCTTCCAACTTCTAATTGGAATTTGAAACTGTCAGATGTTTCCAAACTGAATAATGTGAGAACAAAGCTATATTAAGGAAATTACCCTTGCAACACAATGGCATCCTAAGTTTTATCACTTTTGCAAATTCTGAGGAAGTAAGTCAAGATGGCTCTCACGTATGCAAGGAACAATTTTATAATTTTGGCCTCAGCATTTTCGAGGAGAGATTAGAAAATGTAAAATACAGGTAGTCTTCCATTAACAACCATTCAATGAGCTCTATACACATTCCCACATTAAAGTAACTTACTCTGCCTGGACATGCAGTAGATAATTTATGAAGAGACTGTGCAAGATGAATTTTGGGATTATTCACAATTTGGCCAACTGGATCATGCTCCTTTTTCCCAGCAAAGGCAAGCTGAGAAAATGCAGTCTGGTATCCTGGAGTATCTTCTATATCAATGAAGTGTTCCTCATCAGGAAGGGTGTCATCTTCAGGCAATTCAAAAAGGCCAATAAGGGCCTGAAGGAGGGGTGTCCTGAAAAACCAGAAGATGCCTTTCATCAAATTGCTTGTTAGAAGAGATTCATTTATCATAGCTAGAGTAGGGATTAACAATGATACAACTATGGCAGTTAAAAATTTAGAAAAGTATCTTTAAAAACTCTACCTAACAGCCTATCTCTCTAAAGATGCTCAAATAATACACATACACATCTATCTATCTATCTAT